TGCCTGAGAATGTGTCAGAGTTTGTGAAAGTGTTACCGGAAAGGATGGATGATATTCACCATCAAGTGCGTTGAAACTTGAAAACGTCTGCCGATTCGATGAAGTTAACTTATGATAAGAGATCTACTGAAGTCAGCTTTGTACCAGGAGACAAGGTATGGTTGTATAATCCCGGAAGGCCAAAGGGAAGTCTCCTAAGTTGTCTTCTCCATGGGAAGGTCCATATGACATAGTGGATCCTCTCTCAGACGTTACTTTCCGGATAAAATGTGGTCGGCGAGGACATTCCTTCACCCCAGTTCTTACTGGTTTATATATACAAGAATACACTATATCTAGAAGGATCCCGAGATTTAAGGAAGGGACGTGAACGTTCGAGAAGGACGTGGCGTGATACTAGTCACGTGACCTCCGATGTCGCAACACTGCCCCCTCTTTAGAGTTGTTCGTCCCGAACAATAGTCGCTCACATTAAACCAATAAACAATTAACAATAACTTAATTAAATGAACAGAATTTACAAATACAAAATTACAATTCAAAAAAATCTCTTAATTTTACGGGACGTATCTTATTCCATACTGGTCTCAGTCTCGTTGGCTTCTGTTTCATATAGGGTTCATCTACTGCATCAAGAAATGTCCTATCATCGGTAACAGTCACATTAGTGGTAGTAACTTCATCAAGAGCTTCACAATTTCTCTTCTCAAAACTGAATATAGTTTTTCTTCAACAGTGGCTTTTTCAGGTGACACGTCTTCAGCAGCGTCATTGGTTCTGTTGTTCACATCGTCCCAACTGAAATGTCCTGGACCATGATAACGCCAAAGCCTCTTGGCATACACCACTTTTGGCTAAATAGAAATTCTAGACCTAGATCTGCAGAGACTATCAGAACATTTAATATTACATTCAGAAGTGACGTAACGTATAAGGTCTAGAACCTAGAACTACAGAGTTCATCAGAACATATAATATTGCTTTGAGAAGTGAAGAAACATGTAAGGGCTAAACCTACAACTGCAGTGTTCATCAAAACAATTAATATTACATTCAGAAGTGGAACTATATATAAGGTCTCTACCTAGAATTTCTGAGTTCAACAGAACAATTAATATTACTTTCATAAGTGAAGTAACATACAAAGTCTAGCCAAAGAACTACACACTTCATCAAAACATTTAATATTACTTTCAGAAGTGATGTAACATATAAGGACAAGAACTACAAAATTCAAAATTCAGCAGAAAAATTAATATTACTTTCAGAAGTGATATAACATATAAGGTCTAGACCTAGAAAATTAAGAGTTCATCAGAACAATTAATTTTAGTTTAAAAAGTGAAGTAACTTATATGGTCTAGAACTAGAACTACAAAGTTAATCTGAACAATTAATATTACTTTTAGAAGTGAAGTAACATATGGGGTCTAGATCTAGAACTACAGAGTATATCAGACCAATTAGAATCACCTTATGTATTGATGTTACATATTGTTACGCCTCCATTCGTTAGTTAATTTTCCGTATAATTCCTTTCCGAAGAAACTTTAGCGATACAAGTCCTTTCTTAAATAAAACTGGTTTATTCTTTCTGAATACAACTTTGCGATACACTTAATTTCAACAGTCCGGCTATAACAAATGCTATAATTCACAATGAACGTCTCACGTGGTCAACAATATTCTCTCTCCGCAGTTCAATTACAACCTTTAGCGACACAAGTCCTTTCTTAATAAAACTGGTTTATTCTTTCCGAATATAACTTTACCGATACACTTATTTTCAACAATCGCTCTATAACAACGAACGTTAACTTCAACAATACTTTCTGACTGCAGTTCATTTACTCACTACCTACACACATTGGCACGTCACGCCGTGACCATCTTATATATATACCAGGCCACCCCCAATCTAGCAAATGCTAGAGCACTCCCGAAGGAACAGAATAGTTCTAGAACACGGGTGGCGTGATACTAGTCACGTGATCTCGCTGACGCAACAATATAATATTACTTTCAGAAGTGAAGAAACATGAAAGGGCTAAACCCAAAACTGCAGAGTTCATCAAACTAATTAATGTTACTTTTAGAAGTGAAGTAACATATAAATTCTACATCTAGAACTACAGAATATATCAAAACAAATATTATTACATACAGAAGAGAAGAAACCTATTTCTGTCTGGGCAGTCTTATATACAAGAATACCACACATCTAGTAAACACTCGAGGCTTCACGAACCTTGGAGAATATGACGTGTTATTAGCGTCACGTGATCCCCGCTGTCGTAACAGAACAATTAATATTACTTTCAGAAGAGATGTAATATATAAGGTCTATACCTAGAACTACACAGTTCATCATAAAAATTAATATTACATTCTGAAGTGAAGAAATATATAAATTCTAGATCTAAAACTACACAGTTCATCAGAACATATTGTTACGTCTCCGTTCGTTAGTTGATTTTCCGTAACTTCGTTCCCACGAAACGACAATTGAGTCAAGCGCGTGAATCGTTCGTTCGTTGTGAATTATAGCGTTTAAGTTATAGCGAGACTGTGGAAATTAAGTGAATTTCAAAGTTGTATTGAGAAAGAATAAACTAGTTTTATTTAAGAAAGGACTAGTATCGCTAAAGTTTCTTCGGAAAGAATTTTTACGGAAAATTAACTAACGACCAGAGACGTAACAGTTCTGATGAAGTCTGTAGTTTTAGGTTTTGACCTTGTATGTTACTTCATATCTGAAGTAATATTAATTGTTCTGTTGAACTCTGTGGTTCTAGACCTGTACCTTATACGTTACTTAACTTCTGAAAGCAACATTAATTAGTTTGATGAAATCTGTAGTTCTAGGTCTAAACCCTGTATGCTACTTGATTTCTGAAAGTAATACTAATTAGTTTGGTGAACTCTGTAGTTCTATGTCTAGACCTTATATATTACTTCATTTCTGAATGTAATATTAATTTTTCTGTTGAACTCTGTGGTTCTAGATCTGTACCTTATATGTTACTTCACTTCTGAAAGCAACATTAATTAGTTTGATGAAATCTGTAGTTCTAGGTCTAAACCCTGTATGCTACTTGATTTCTGAAAGTAATACTAATTAGTTTGGTGAACTCTGTAGTTCTATGTCTAGACCTTATATATTACTTCATTTCTGAATGTAATACTAATTGTTATGAAATGTTATGAAAATTGAATTATATAAATAAATGTTCTTAAAAGTAATTTTATAGTGTTTTTAAATACCTATTTCAAGTAATTTAGATATATGTGTAGGGAACGGTTAATTCAGCTACTTTAACAATAAGACAGTCTAGTTTCGTCTTGAGTTTACATAACTGATTAATTATATTTATTACAAGTTATAGCTTTTATAGTAAGATTTATTTTTAGGACTGGTACGATTTTTTTAATCACCTGTACTTCTGATCGATCGCACCAGTGATCGAAAAGTCGTACATGTTCTAGAAACAAATTTTACTTACCTTAATTTCTATTCTGATTTTTCAAGGCACACAGGGGATCCGGGGCACTATCAAATAGAACGAGAATTTCAAGCTTTGTTTTTTCACTACATCTCAGAAATTCATACAGGTTTCTAAACAAAATAGATAAATGATAAAGCATTTGTGTATATTTTACTGAACGTTTGATGTGTTTTTAGGAATACAGATATTTTGTATTATTATTTTAAGGTAAACTAATGATAACACACTGTAGATGAAAAATTGTGAAAAACTTTGTGAAAAAATATTTATATGTGTTTCTATAAATAGTTTTATTTTCTCTAACCAGGGATCGACGGTGGAAATATCAACACTGTCAACTGAAAGCATGTTAACATCGTGTTCGAGAAAGAACTTCTGTTTTAGTTTGTTTTAACTGCAAGTGTTTATTTTAAACCTATTACAGTATAAATCGTAAAACTTTCATCTACAATTGTAAAAGCAAAACACTTTGTACTTTCTATATTAAGAAATAAATATTTTTCTTACTTTCTTTGTTTGTAACATTTATAAAGGCAGTAGATTAAGAGCCTAAAAATTGGAGTTAACAGATTTTCTTATTATACTACAAGTTACAGCTTTTGATGATCGATGTCATAGTGAAACGGCGTTCCTGTTTGTTCCGCCTCAACTCAACCACTGGTTAAATTGTAACGGTTATTTTAATGAATTAGTTAGGATATGATATCGTAAGGCTCACTTTACAGGTGTTTATTTAAAAGTATACTTACTCTCTGTCGTTGTCGTGTTCACTGATGACACCTCTTAAAACGTAGCCATTGGGGACAGTGTAGTGCAAGTGTCCATCCCAGTCATTAACATACCTTGTCCAAGTGCAAGCTTTGGAACATTTATTTTTTTCTTTACAGCAATAGATTTTCCATCTAAATCATCAAACAATCATGATTTTAAAAATTATCACTCTTTCTCTCTATATATGTATATCTACGTGTATATTAGGTTTCATAGACGCACGATGTTCACTAGCCCAGATAAGTTAGTACGATTCTGTTGTTCCTTCTCTGTGTTCGTTTGTTAACTTTCCGTAGAAATGTTTTTCCGATAAACTTCAGCGATTTCAGTCCTTTCTTAAATAAAACTAATTTATTCTTTCTCTACTCAACTTTGCAGTTGAGTTGACATGCTAATATAACATTTTTAACCTCAATAACTAGATGTGGCAACGTGGACTGTAATGACATGTTAACATAATGATCCACAATAACTAGATGTGGCAACTTGGACTGTAATGACATGTTAATATCATGTACTTACCCTCAATAACTAGATGTGGCATCGTGAACCGTAATGTCAAGTTCAAGCTCTAAAATTGTTTTAATATAATATACCCATCCTCTATAACTAGATGTGGCAACGTGGACTGCAATGACATTTTAAAGTAATTAACCTCAAAACGTAGATATAGCAAAGTAGACTGTAATGACTACGTTATTATAATATACTTAACCTTCTTAACTAGATGTGGTAACGTGGACTGTAATGACATGTAAATATAATATACTTACTCTCAATAACTGGATGTTGCAATGTGGACTGTAATGACAAACTAATATAATATACTTAAACTCAATAACTAGATGTGGCAACATGGACTGTAATGACATGTTCAAGATCCAAAATTGTTTTAATATGATATACTTAACCTCGATGACTAGATGTGGTAACGTGGACTGTAATGACAGAGTTCAACAGAACAATTAATATTACTTCAGATATGAAGTAACATACAAGGTCAAAACCTAAAACTACAGACTTCATCAGAACTGTTACGTCTCTGGTCGTTTCCTAATTTTCCGTAGAAATTCTTTCCGAGAAACTTCAGCGATATAAGTCCTTTCTTAAATAAAACTAGTTTATTCTTTCTCAATTCAACTTTGCAATACACTTAATTACCACAGTCACTTTAACTTAAACACACGCTATAATTCACAAAGATTCAAGCATATAATTTAGTCTGAAGTTATTACATCGTATGATCAGATTATTTAGTCTGAAGCCTAGATATAGTGTTACGACAGCGGAAGTCACGTGGTTCTAGTAACACGTCATGATATTCTAGAAGGATCATGTCTGTTCGTAGCAACTCTGGTCTTTTCTATGCGCCCTCTGTTCTTGTATATGAGTGCGCGAGATAAAGAGAAATTAATTAATCAGAATAGAATTGCAGACAGACAGAGACGGGCAATTAAGTCAAGCGCGGTAGTGACCGCAAATAATCGAATAATTTAATGTAATAACTTCACACTAAATAATCGGATATTATCGTGCATTAACTTTTGACTAAATAGTAATGAAATTAATTCACGAGGAAATTACAAAAGTTATTATCATTTTTGTTTAAAGTAACAAAATGAGTATAACAGATGAAAATAAATATTATTACCTTCTGTCTTCTCTGTGATTGTCATGGTAACTGTTAAAACCCGCGATCGCCTCTCCATTACTGCAGGTAAAATGAATCAGACCGTCCCAGTCGTTGACGTAGTTCGTGAAATAGCACGATGGATCTTGAAAAGTTTTTTCACAGTCGAAATGCCAACGCCTATCCTCGTGATAGTTGTCATGGATACTAGAGATAAATCACAATGCTATATGTATGCTATATTGTAAACATACGAAATTTCAGTTTTAGATATAACTTTAAAACTTTGTCTATTCAAATTATTGTAAACAACATATCACATATAATTATAGTATTTTTGGCACTTTTGTATAAAGTTAAAATCATAAATAATATTCAACGTTAAACTGATACACAGATAAAAACATTTTATTTAGGCTTATCTATTGCCTTCAAAAAGTGGACGACTCTACATGTTTCGACCTTACAACGTCATCCTCAGGATATATCACATAGAGTTTTAACACATGATTTTCAGGTATTTCTACTAGTTGAATTTTGAAATAATACGACTAATTGTAAATCAAACAATCTGGTGAAACGCTGTAAAGAGCTACAGTTCCTAACTAAAGCACGCGAGTCTATTTCCATGGGTTGTACAGAGAGTAAAAATTGTTAAATACAATTATTTTGGAACTTCTTAAGGTTCCAAAAAGTAAAACAAATTTAGCATCATTAAGATGATAAGTAAACTTTAAAAATATTTAAGAAAGTAAAACCTAGATATGGTCTTGATGGAGTACTTCTGTTGACACTGAAAGTCCAAAACGCCATCCCAGTCGTTTATCCAAGCCTCTGCGAAAGTAAGAGTACTAAAGATGATTATGACGATAGCCGGGAAGTTCATGTTGGTTACGTTAGGTTAGTTGACGAGTAGAGCAGATCTTCTACGATCTTCTAATTTTATACTGTTACGACAACGGAAGTCACCTGACCCTGGTGGCGTGCGTGACGAGTTTCTCAAATGATCGTGGAAGTTCGAGTGTGCTCGAGATGCCCTTTTCATTAGTATATAAGCCTGATAGAGAAAGACAGCGGAAATGAATGAAGAGAGAGCACTAGTTACTTTGAGTTCCGTGTAATATATGATTCTGTTAGTTTCGAGCTAGTATTATAAAAGTTGTTAAGTTTAAAGTGACGAGAAACGTTCTGATTGTGCAATTACTGTGTACTAAAAGTTTGTATCGAGGAAGAATAAACTGGTTTAATCAAGAAAGGACTTACATCACTGAAGATCCTTGGAAAGAATTTCTACCGGAAACAAACAAACAAGCAGATACGTAACAATACCCACGTTTTCAATTAGGAAATGGAAAAATTGAACACCACTGACAGGAAACTGTTAGGCTTAACGTTTTCGAAAAACAACTAGGAAGAACAAATCACAGGAACTGTTTCTTTTCTGTCAATATAGTCGTTGTTTGATTCACTAGAACTGGTGAATTAGTGAGTTGTTTCCTTAAGTATCAATGAGTTATGTCTTACCAAAGTTACTTCTTATCCCGTTTTTTTTAACTTTTCAGAATGATTTTTGCGCGGAAAAATACCATAAAACCGGATAATACTGCTGTATGTAAAAAATTCAGCAGTTTCGAAATCAATTTTCCATTTCTGTGTGGAGCAAATATGGCCGAATATATGAGAAGTTTAGGACCATGTAAGGAACACAAATACAAAAATAGAAAAAGCAAGCTGAAAAAGCTGTGAAATATGTTTACATTGTGATCCACCAGCTATATATGTAGTAAAACACTGTCATATTATCCCCAAAGTAGACGTGAAGTAGTGCAAAAGATCCAAAAGTCAGTAAAAAATAGAGAAAGATGACCAGACGATCAGTCCTTAGGGGAGCTAATCGAGAGATGCTACATTCTATAAACAAAAACACACGTTTCTAGTAATTCACTAGTAAAGCAAAATAATAATGAATTATGTACATAGAAGGGAATAGTAGTAATTTATATATATATATATATTTATATATTTTGTATTAAGATCCCAGTCAACGAGAAACCCACCCTTTCACAATTTAAAAATCCTCTCTGGTCGCGGAGAAATAAACAAAAACGATCGGCTACCTCCCGGAAAATCAAAGGAAAGATGGAGAATGCTTTGATTTTTAGCAACTATTCGAGTTATTCTAGTTACAATGATGTTATTAACCAATTTCACTGCATAATTAATTAGAATAAACATGTTTCTAGTTTTCTTCTATTACGTCTTGTCTAAATGTTTTAACTCTCTTCAGCATACATTTTCATTCTTTTTGGAATTCTAGATCAGATGGGCGTACTATCTTCATTATCTGAGCTGCCATCTAATCCATCAATGATGTTGTAGTCACTTTATAACAATCATAACTGTTAGAACATCTGTATAGTTATAGTCACTTAATAACAATCATACCTGTTAGAACATACTTTCAGTCACTTAGTAACAACATTACGTGTTAGAATACACTTTCAGTCACTGATTTATAATCTTACGTGCTAGAACCCTTAATTAAAACGAAACTCGTATCATTAAAGATATGAATCACTCTGCCTATTTCAAGGGTAAACAAATATACAGGATGTAAGACCTCACTAGCGGTGGAAGTGTTGTTAGGTTTGATACTAAAGCGTCTCGAATCACACACGTGACCATATACGTATCCAAATTTATATCAAATGGTTCAGACGATACTTTCGGAAACATTTTGAAAACCAAACTTAAAGTGAAATGTAATTCTTTGTCTACGCTGTACAAGTAAACAATTAGATAGATGGATAGAATATAAATATTACAGCAATACAATATAACTATACAAATATTATAATAAACTATATATTGTAGTAAAGTGTTACTAAAACAGTAAGATAAACAAATAGAAACACAAAAGTTCCAGAAATGTGAAGACCCGATAAAATTGTTATTAAGTGACTACAACTATACAGATGTTCTAACAGGTATGATTGTTATTAAGTGACTACAACTATACAGATGTTCTAACACGTATGATTGTTATTAAGTGACTAAAAGTATACAAATGTGTTAACACGTATGATTTTTATTAAGTGACTACAACTATACAGATGTTCTAACACGTATGATTG